TACATAATACAGAGGTATTAAGTACCGGTTTCAGCGGTGAGCAACCCGATGCTATGAACTAGCTCTAATGAGAAAAATATCCTGTTTTCCATTTATTTTTTCTTGATGAAAATGCCACCTGAATAATAAGCTAAGTGATTTCTACTTACCCAACAACACATGGGAAAAATATCACAATCCAGGATGTGCAGGAAGCATGAGGCACGAAATCATACAACTTATCACAGATTATATCGTCAGAAATGAATAAAATCGGCATAGGCTTTTTCTTTGGATGATAGCGAATAATCAACATGGACCGACATCTTGTCCATGACAAACCCATAAACAACAATGGGGAAGATTTATTTGACATTTGACTTGCGTTATCGCATTCATCCACAGAATATTTTCCTACAGTGGGTTATTTCATGATTTAATCTGTAGTTCTTTATCGTCTGTAGCGCCTCTGGCGACTATGAAATCAGTCGTTCTCGGTTATGTTTTTAAGTGAGAGTGCCCAGGGCATGGTGTAAAACGAACTGAACGTGTAAACGCCAGATTTGCGTTCAGTTCATCTGCACAGATCTGGCTTGTGCAAGCCAGATCGTTCAGATGGCTTGAGCGTGTAAATGGGCTTTAACGGACGTATCTGATACCTCCAATCCCACTGGAAGAATCGGCACTCGTGCTTGGTATGTTAATTAGTGGACAGGAAAAGATTTAATTTGTCCGATCTGGATCTGTCGAATCAAATCTCTACGTATCTGAACTGTACGGATAATCTGCCCGTGTATGGGGTGCTATTGTGTTTAGTGTTTTGCGACGAATCTCGAATCTACTGAGTATAAAGGTTTGGCGTAAGCAAAATATGCTAGATTAACCAGCCTTTGAATTTTGCTGTTTTTTTTTGGGAGATGTTTCGGTGATATTAAAGGAATGTTTTGTATTGTTGCAGCATTCCAGAGGAGCGATGACGGCCACGCACGGCATCGGCCGGACCGCACTAGCGAGTCGCTAAGCGCCCCAGGGCCGGGGATGGATGGGAATGGCTTCCCGTCAGCCCCTTTGCGCGGCCCCGGCGGGCCTGTGCCGATAAGCATTCCGCTGACTACGCTGCGCCCAGTGCCTGCGTCCGTAACGTTGACGGCGCCCAGGCCCGAGGGTGATCGTCGCGACAATGAGTACGTCGAGACGCCCCTCAAGGGGCCAATCACGCCCTCGTCTCCGGTGCCTCTGCATCGGCCGCCCGCACCGGCGCCGCCCCAGGTCCCCATCAACAAGCAACCGGTGTCGTTTAGCAAGACGTCGCCTGCCCCCTCCTGCGGCACGTCGCGCCCTTCCATCATGTGCACCACGTGTGGGCGATGCAAGTGCGCGACCTGTCGAGCCCCCAAGCCCTTGCCCGAGTGCTGGTCGTGCCATGGAGGGTGTCTGTTGTCCGCCGACTCCATGGTTGACTATGTTTCGTGTTTGTGCTGCGTCAAGGGACTGTTCTACCATTGTTCCGAGGCGGACGACGTGGACAGCAGCTGTGCGGACGATCCGTGCGGATGCGGACCGGATCGGCGCGTGGAGCGGTGGAGCTGTTTGGCCGCCCTCGTTTGCGCTCTGCCTTGTCTGGTGCTCTACTGGCCGCTGCGCGGCGCCAAAAGGGCGGTCGAACTGTGCTACGAGCGGCACTCGAGATCGGGGTGCCGATGTCGTCCACCCAAACAGCCGCCCCGGCCGCCCGCCAAACGACTGCTGGGCAACGACTCGTTGCAAGACTTTTAATTTATTGATACGTATATTAGTGTACATAGAACTGCCGCCGCATCTGTTGCGGTCTCCAGTATTATCTAGTCCAGCGCCGAGCAGTGGCGCACGAGTGTCTCTCGAGTGTGCCTGAAATAACTCTTGTGTACATCTTTTCCATTCAATTTTTACTTTTTACAACTTTCTCACTTATTTATTTATTACTAATTTAAATTATTTATGAATCGGACACTATTGCATTACCAACGCCTTTCCTGGTTTCCCGCTTTCTCCAAATTCACATTTGCTTCCCACTCAAGGCACCAAACCGCGGCTCATCCAACCACAACGGCATTGTTAATATGGTGTGAAATTCCAATGCAAGGAAAAGGTGTCCAAAGAATCGATACCCACATTCGTCTTCTTTTGTTTGAACGGCCAACCGCATCTTTCAGCCAGTTGCTAGAAAAATGACTCAAAGAAAAGGGCGCAACCCAGCGGCGTACGGGGCCTGTGTTATGGCTAGAGGATGTGGGGGCCAAACCAAACACAATTATTCTTTTTCGACATTCAGCATTATCGAAACACATACCGAGCCATTATCTCCTTTACAAACACTTGGTTTTGCAATACTCTCCGTTATATTTTTGTTATTGTACTGATATGGTATGATCCGTCACTCGGGTTCAACCGATAAACCAGCTTTTTAATGTTCAAATGAAATAGCTAGAGGTGTATCTTTCCGATTTTAGGTACGTACATTTTTATATGTCGTTTTTCCTACGGAATTTTTATCTCGTCCTGTCCAACCAGATTATCTTCAGATTTGGACTTCTACTGAATGTTTCACTTAAAGACCAGTTGGCATAACTGAAGCATCGCTGGTTAAGAAATGAAAAAAATATCTAACAAGATCATTTTGATCACTGTTAAAATAAAAAAAAAAGTGCGTACTCGGTACTGTAATATCGGCATAACATTAATGGGCATTATATTTATTCCAAATCAAATTTATTCCTGGGTTTCAGTCATTTATTGTCTTTATTTATTAATCAAAATACGTTTCGGTGTATTTTTCCACCCTCATCAGTTTTTATGTGTAGCGTTGTTGCTGCTTTTCAATTTGCATTATATTTATTACTGCAACGCCCTCCGGTCCCGGCAGGCTGATGATTGTTCAAAATTGTTCAGAATACTTATCAGTTTCTTTATCTTCTGTTCTTTGAACGATATAGAAATCGAAATTATTGGTAAAAACGTTTATTACGTGCTCGTTTTTTTACTTATGAGCACAACTAGTTCTGGTGTGATATTCCCAGATCTCTGAGCGATGTACTTGTACTAACTCCGATCGAGATACTAACTGTGATGTGCAATATCCATTAAAAATCCATTTTTTTAGATTAGCATTATTTTTAGCCGTGGAACCACCCTTTGAATTTGGCACTTTTTTACTTACTCTGAATACTAATTGGCATCAGTGAAGCATTATTGTTGAGAAATGAAAAATCAATTTCCAAAAAGGTATTTTTTCTAAAATGGCATATGGAAAAATTCGTTTACTGTTTTCCCTTTTTTAATTCCTAATTTTCGATAGTTTCGCTATTGATACACTGGAATCTATCGTAGTCGTGATAAAAACCATGTGTACCCATTTTTATATGTTTTTCAAATCCCCAAAAGAATCGATGATTTTGTTTATTTTCATAACTCGTTAAGGTTTGGAAACCTACTACTCGTTAGTCATATTTAAACTCAAACTATTACATTGCAAAATAATCTACCACTGTTCTATATTTTGATCCACTGCAAGCTAGAGATTTTTTTAATTTATTTTTTTGGTATTTTATTTTTTATTTATTTGGTACAAAAACCAAATAATTTTATTCAATTTTTTAAGGTTTGTCAGGTCGTTCCAGTTTTAACAAAGTTTCTATTACGCAATTCTTTCTACGCAAAAATCCACATATCCAACTAAACTCTCATTATTTCTTTGAGATTAATCAACATTCTTACATTGACTCGTTCATCATGAGTAATATTGAGCAGTCCTGGATAAAATATTCTATATAAAACTGCGGAAATCTCAATAGAAAACCTCAACACACGTTTTGCATTCCAGCTAATCGAAATGTTGTTTAAAATTCACAGTTTTACAATTATCTTCAAAACTGTCGATTTTTTGTCCGAAAATGCCAGAGATTTCGATCCTCAAAAGTGGTTTACAATATATTTAGGCCTTATTGACAATCTGAAGGAAGCGTTTCAATGGCCATATTTAATAATTTGTGACATAATATGGAAACACCATGTGTAAAGGTTCGGTTTTGATCAAAATCGTTCACTTTCGGTTTCGGTAATTTCGAAGTGTCCCAAAATCGTTTCTGATGTTGAAATATGGATTTATTTTTATTTAGTTGCTTGAATTTCATAGCATTTTTTATTCCGCGGTCTTCTTATGCCTAAGTGAGCTGTTGACAATATTTGATAAAAATTCTGTCTGGCGAAAAACGACCATATCGCACAAAGTCATATATTTTATTATAATTTCAATGCGATACGAAACTACATGTATGTAATAGATCTGTAATTTTCAGCGCTTTTTTCTTTAAATTTGATTTTTGGCATTACTTGAAACTGGTTAATTATACTATTACGATTATTTTACTGAATTCGTTTTCAACCGGTATAATTTACATTCCTTCCAAAGAATTGCCCAGGCAGTTTCAGTGTCTATGATTATTATTATTGCTATTATTTGCACTCAATAACAGCACAAAGCCAGTTTCAAGACGTACGTTTGACCATTTTGTTCATAGACGTAAATAATATATATTTGTACATGATTATGATGATAGCAGCGGAAATATTCAGGGTTGTATGACTTATGATTGTCAAGAGCGCTTATATAACAAAAATAACAAAACAGTACGTTGTAAGACTTTGTATACAAAACGTGTATGGATATTATGTAATGTCTTGATAAGCTTTTTCACTTAATAAGAACTATAAAAGTAAGTTGATGGGAATTATCGTTCGGTTGGATTGGGAAAAGCGCAGATAGCGTAGATTTTCCCGTTTATTTGTAAAATATTCGGTTTTATCTCTGCTATTAAATCGTTGAAAACATTTTTTTATAATTTTCGAAATCTTAAGACGTAAAGAATTGTGATATTTTAGGATATCTGCGATTATTTATATACTCGGTCGGTTGAAATTAGTTGATCAAGTGTATTTATCAAAATGTTTTGATTGATTCAATGCTCGGTTGAAAATAGTCAAAAATCTTCAGGTGTTCGAGTAAAATATATAAAATGAGTGTTTTGTACATTTTACTTGAACTTTTACTAGTGAGAAAGCTTGTCCGTTAGGTTGTGTCTTCAGGTATAGACAGGACGCAGTTATTTAAAAACAAAATGTTTAAATTGCTTAATATATTTGACTTTCAACCCTATAACGGTCCTGTAGATATCCACTTCCGATGAACGCTAAAGTGAGGGGCATATCGACTGAATGTTTTAAAGCCAAATTTTAAATATTGTTATTAAATGTTTATTATTACGTAATAAATGACTTACATATAACAAGTTAAGATACTGTTGTAACTTCCAAAAATTTACCTACTAAAATACCAGATGTTTTATGTTCGCTTTACGTTAACAATCGTCGTATTTTCTTCACGATGGCTAATGTAAAGTGATCTGACTTTGGTGCTTGCGTTATGTATTGGTAAAAGATCTATTTGTACACCTCTTTTGTAATTATATATTAAATTAAACACCTAGCGAAACTGATTGAATCTGCAGATATATTTGAAATATCTTAATGTAAAATTAATTCTTCTGGGTACTAGCGGCTCACTGGTTACCCGCACTATACGCTCTGCGCTCGCAAATAAATATATAATTCCTTCACTTTGTGAAACATAAGGGCCGTAACTGTCTTCTTACTCAGGTATCATTGAAATTGTTAATTTTATTATGTGGATTCTTCAACAATAAAATGGCATTATTTAGCCGATAAAGCCTACAAGTTTTATTAAAAGCAGAACAGTTCACATAATAAAATAAGATGCGGATGAGCACTTTGGAATAGGTACACAATGGTGATGTAATGTGGGGTTTTGGTATGACCGATTGGTTTAGGAATCTGCTTACTATGGTTTTCACGTGTTTGCATCAAATGCTGGTTTGAAAACCCAGGATGTAAAAATTCCATTATGGCACAGGGCATGCGGAAGACGGCAATTAAGAACTGGAAACTTGTTTACACTTTTTGTCGGTTCTTTGTCGGCACCCTCGATTTAGGAAACATGTTGCATTTTAAAAACTAACATAATTTAATATTGTATCGTTCTTGCGCACTGGAAAAGCTCTCTGTTAGAAACAAGCAAACTTAATGCAGCTTTTTCTGCAAGAAGAAACTGCATTAATATATATTTAAGCCTTTTTACTTACTGAATTTTTTTTTGTTAAAATCAGTTGGTCACTATCAAAACTTGTTATGTAAAAATGGAGGGTAGTACTCTCACCATGAGTGCCAAATATTGGCATTAAGTGTATAGCAATTGTATACAATGTACATATTAAAATTGTAATTTTATTCTATGTTAAATAATAACAATGATCAACAACTTAGAATTTTTTTATTATTTTCCCACATTACACAGTTTACAAAAACTTTTGGTCAAAATACGCCAGTTTTGCGCAGAAACAGAAGGAAAAATAAAAAATAATCCACTGATTTTATCCCTTCCCGTCATAACTGATTCTAACAGTGAGTGAGCAGGATGGTGCTAATGTGGCACACTCGTGATATTGAGTATTTATTGAAGTGATAATAAGTACGGCTTGAGGGTAAGTGAGCAAAATAAAATACTTATTTTTCACATAAGTCAGACTGAAAAACTTCACAATTTAAACGCTTATAACTCAATAAGCCTTTTCTGCCTTTTCGATCGAATCAGTTAAGTGGTCAGTAACGCCGGTTACTACTTCACATTCATTATGTCAATAATGGTCGAAAACTCAGCTTAACTCTAATGCAAATTAACCAAAAGTGACTTTATCGAAGGGTTAAACATAATTGCAACGGAACTTTTCACTTATCTTTCAGTCTCAACATGATCAGGGAATATTTATTTTCGTTCTTTAATCAACAATGCAGTTTGTTTAAGGCGTATAAACTGGACATATACAGGGCGATTGCTATGAAGGCGTTGATTGTTTGCTAGAAAAGGATGAAGCTAGTGTGGCATCAATATCAAGCCTATATTTTCGCGTATTAAGCAGGTAAGGGAAGTAAAAAAATGCGGTAAAATCATGGTAGTGAAAAGCAGAAATATGGTTTTATGCGGGCCTGTATCACAATAACTGTATTAAATCGCTACAGTTAAACCATGAAGGATGAAGCTAGAATGGGAAAGTAAAATTATTTAAACACCATTGGCTTGAAAAAAGTTGCCCGAAAAAGGAGTGCATTAAATACATATGGTAACCATCGTTTGTAGTAAATTGTGATCAAGTTTGCGATTTGTTGAGTCTTGATAAAATGATCCAGTGTTGCAATTGAGACAGAAATAGTGAATATGCCACATCAATCTCCGCGCTGTTGAAATTAGCTGATTTTTCCAGAATCATCTGCAGAACTGCTTAGATTGCTGGAAAGTTTATCGCAACCCATCTTCGCGTCAGTACTACCGTTTGACGAGCTTGATATTTATTTAATTCGGCTATAATCACCAGATACTTGATTTGCTGCAATAAACCTGTGAAAGTGCGGCGCTTCTTAGTTCCCAACCGCTAATTTTATGAAATATAACGGGAACTGCAATTGAATTGCTTATTTAAACTAAACCGAAAGCTTGCCATTGCAATGACAAATTAGAATGTAATGACAAAACAAAAAAAATGCCGTTATCAAGCTCTTAAAAACGAGTTCCTGACCTGAGAATAGGAACAAGTCAAATTTCAAATGTGGATAATAGGTCTCAACTAGCAACCTATGATTATATTTAGTAACTGCCCGAG